CGTTTCAGTTTCAGTCTGTATATTTCCCACCATACCCAAATTCAAAATAGATCTACAGTGCGATTTGATATTTTATCAAAGTTTTCAATTCCAATCAAGTAAGCCTTATGGTTATCTGTCCTCCTCTATCTTAAAAAAGCAATAGTCTATAGTTCTCTAAAAATATTGGTCCCCTCTACCTATAAAACTAGTTAGATTTAAGCCTTTTATTATAAGAAATTCCTACATACGTAGTTGCTTAGAAATTGTGAGACACCCTATATTTCTGAGGCGCATCAAAGCGTTTTAAAATAAACGAAATAAAAAGTCACAATATTAATATAATAAATGTTCATAGTTATATTACACAAATGTTCGTAGATTCCAGTTACAGCTACGAAAGTGTAGAACTGTCTACTTGGGTGATAATTTTCTCATTCCATATTTAACCGACAATTGTAGTGCTAACTACTACTGCTACTTAACAAAGTGGTACAAAAAATTTTCAATAATTTTTGTAAGTCAATGTAAAGTTGGCTTCTACACAAAAGTCGTTTGGATGTCACAGAATAAATCTATACACAATTGTGGCTAGTTTAAGCACGGTAATTCATCTATACTAATATACTAGCAGACCCAAAGACCAAGCTATTGTTTATAGCAGTGCCATCTATTGAATTATAGCTTATATGACACGTTTGTCGGTTTACCATAGCAGTGGCATCTATCGATTACTTAATCCATTGTAGCTGTCAATTATTTTTAGACAAATAATTTGCAATAAAATAAAATTGCGACTATAATTAAAGATCTAAACTATCCTATGTCTCAAGTAGGACCAGACTGCCCACGGTGTGCCAATTTAATTTAAAATCGGTTCAGTAGTTTAGGAGTCCATAGCGGACAAACATCGTGACAGGAGATTTATATATATAAAGCTAAAGAGATTTATATATAATTAAAAAAATGTCCGCGCCACTATATTTCGATCTTTTAAGATTAACTTGCTTGAACGACGGGACGCGGCCGACGTCATGGGTAACAGCTTAATTCTACAAAGATGAAGAGAAGTTGCATAAACTAATTTTGCGGCTTAAAATAAATATTCTTGGCGGACTAAGATGCTGACACAACTAGTTAAGCATGCATTTCTTCCTTGTAGTGTAATAGATAATATTAAGTATGCGAGCTGTTACATTACATGCATACAAGTTGAATACAGTATAAGATCTAAATCTTCCATATAAAAAAGACATCAAACAATGATTAAAACTTGATGGAAGGTGAATTTCAGTCGAATATTTTTTTAAATAGAGCAGGACAGACAACCACGAGGTTCATTTAATAGGAGGTAAATTCCCATTAAACTTCACGTAATTCACATTTGTCGACGGTAGTTTGTAACAGACGGAATTCTTGCCGACTTTTGGACCCGGTGGGATCGAATCCGCGATCCGTTGTTTACATTGCTACCATTACAACAACGAGCTCGTCAAATCAAAATATGCACAGTTAGACCATGGTTTTAGTCTTTAATTACTTATACAAGCAACACGTTGTATAAATTAAATTAACCAAAGTAATTAACTAGTAAATATCAAATAATGTCAAAGGCTTCAATGATGCATATTACACGCTACAGTGATTATCAATCATTATCATAACACGACATCAATTTGTTTTAATCGAAAAATGAATAAATAAACGTTATGAAATTGTTCATGTATGACGCGAAACAAATAATTATAATTAATGCAAAACACGATGATCTAAATAAAACTAACATATCAACTAATTCTATTCTCATTTATGCAAACTTTTTATTAATTGTTGGAGTTAAAATTGCACCAAATTTCTTAAATCAATTTTTGGTAAGAACCGTCAGGTTTACTGTAGGAACATAGGTAATCGTGGAGTATGAGATCGGTCACCAAGGCGGTAGTGGTCAACCTGTAGTTTCAGTTAATGGAGCTTTTGTATACCTTACACCCGTAAAGAAATTTAAACAAAATAAGTAAACATTTAAATAACACACTTTATATTATTATAATTAATTTTTATGGGGATTATATATTAGTTAAGTTACTTATTTTAACATTATTTTAACTACGGCCCGACGTTTCGGATGCTTTGCAGCAGCCGTGGTCGCGGGGAATAAGTTTAACTAATATATAAACGCATTTTAAACCGGTAAAGTGTTTTATTTAAATGTAAGCTACAGACGGTATATAATAAAGAAACATAGTAAGAAGTTAGAACACTAGAATACTTGTTATTATAGCTATTTACTTATCATTATTCTGTTGCTGATATAGTTAAGGTTAATTTAAGTTAAATTATACAGTAGACTATAATATAATTTATTTTAATAAAATGATTTAAGTAGTAGAAAACAATTAAGAAGTCAGATGTCATTAAAATTAGGTGATTATTGAGATTGTATTGTAATTTCCGATACAAATTTTAAAAATTGGGCCGTAAACTGTTCTGTTTATTTGTACTTATATTTTATTTATTAATATACATTCTCTATTTCGACCAAATTTCATACCGTAGAATAGATAAATAATATTTTTAAGCTTGTTTATTTATAGCTTATATTCACATTTAATAAGTACTCTATTGTATTACGTGTGTAATATTTATTATTATTAAAAAAAATAAATACTTACTATTTGTTTATTAGAATTTTCAATGTAATAAATAATATTTTATACATTTAACTTACCGTACGATCCTTCTGAAGTTCACTACGACTCACAATATCATAACTTTGTACTTCTAATACCAGTGGCACTGGTGCGCGGAAAATTCTCCAACTGCTGGAAAGCGCGCGAAAGCTCTCCTACTTACGTCGAATTCCGACCAATCGCATAGTCCACTCGCCTCCGCTTTTCACATCCTCCAATCGGGTTACAGGCGATACATTTAGAAAACTTTAATACGTTTTTCATGTCACCATTCCACTAAAGCTCGGTACACATTTTTCAATTTTCATTCGCACTCTTTTAGTTGGTATCTTACCCCTTTATTTATGTATGATTGGATGCAAATGAGATGTTTATCAACACTGGAATGTGCGTTAATACTATATTCATAACAAATATATTTTAATATTGAATTGAATATTGCCATTTTAGGTTTGAGTGAATGAATTATCATGTTAATTTTCGAAATTATTATATAAAAATAATAATATTTCAAAATATTTAACATTATATACCAACCTAACTTGAGTTTAGTCATTATGTAGAAAATTATACTATTTCAATACTAACTTCTTACTAATGTTACTTGCGTCGCATATTTAAAAGTACTTACGCAACGAAATTATTTTCTTGACAAAATAATACAGGCTTGATGGCCTCGAGCTAAAATTATAAAATATTCTTATTAATTAATAATTAGTAGCACGGTATATAAAATAACCACTTTATGTTGAACTTTATTTTTAATCTATATACTTCTTCATTTTACTTAATTTTACGAGTATTAATAAAATATGTTGTATTATGAGCTTTATTTGTCATGTTTGGTGTGAGTATAATATCGTTGTAATATGCAATGGTAAAGTAATTTATTGTTTTATCTGTGAAACCTTTTTAGTGAGATATCAGAGCGGCAATCTAAAAAAAGCTTTTCCGACATAATTAGACGTTAGATAGTAGGCGTACTTTTTAAATAAATGCGTAATTTCTAATTTTCTACATTTGAAGGTGAAATTTAGTTGTACAGCGACAAAACGATTTTACTTTAATACACTTTGACGTCTATTAACATACATTCATAACAACATTCATAATACACGGCATCTATCTTATTGGATCCTATAAAAAAAAATTCGTATTCGTGTGACGTAACGATTTCTGTATTGATAACTCCTTTAGAAAATTCCAATTACTTAGGTTCCGTTGAGACGTCATAAAGCGTTCGGTCCAAAATTATAAGCGGAACAACAATTATCTATTATAAACGAACTTGTTTGTTCAATTATCTACCGCAAACAGTCTATTAAGTCGTTATAAAACCGATTATTTCGGAACATGACGCGTTCCGCGTACCGATTTTCACGGAGATGTGATTTTGGCATGAATGTATTTTTAATAAATAACGACTTATTCATCAAAAGTCGAAGTTGTATAATGTAATATTAATAAACCCATATTGTATATGTTTGTCATGCTTTTGTGCTCTCTAACATAATTATAATATTTTAATTAATTAACTGTGGTAAGTAAAACCATTTTATTATAAAATTATTGTCTATATTTTTGTCAATTGCTAGAAACTAAAAGTCAATTGTCAAAACTAAAAATGTGGCATTCGCTCTATGGTTTTTGGTTAATCTATGTTGCCACATTTATGTTGTTTTGCTAAAATTGTGTTGAATTATAAGTGAAAGGAAGGTGAAAATAGTATTCTGATAATAGATAATTATTGTTTTATATATAAAAATAGCCGATTACTGTATTTGAACCTTAAAAATATTCAAGTAAAGAAGTAAGTGCCCACACGAAAATTACAAAAATATTTATTATGCATTAGTGTTTTTTTTGCTGTTGGTATTATTATTATAGCAAATTGTTAATTTGTAATACAATATATGGCAGTACCATTCGCACCGCTAAATTGAGCGGCCATTTCCAACTTCCTAGTATAAGTTCTTGAGTCAGGCTTCATATTGTTATTTCAAGATCAGTGAGATTTACATTTAATTTACTATACATCTGTTCAAGTGAAGCTAAAAGTAAGTAACTTTTAGCAATGTATTTTGAATTGTAATTACTGCACGCATGTCTTGTCTCGAACGCATCTACTTTCTAAAATTTTGTTTATGTTCTCAAGCGTATATAACAGTTACAGACATTCTGTATTTTTAACATTTTATTCATATTACTTTATTATCAACGCGTATTGATTTTCTTGTGCTACGGCAAAAACTTAACCCCACTTTACGTGTCAGCCGCAAATTTCGTGTGGTAAAATTAAGTGTGTAACAAGTGCTCAAAAACCATTCCAGAATGCCCAATGACAAGGATGGACCATTGCCAGAAGGATGGGAGATGAGGAAAAGCAGATCTACCGGAATGGCCTATTTCCTCAATACATATACTAAGAAGTCTCAATGGGAGCGACCTGATGCGCCGGCTGACCCAGGTGAGATCAGATGCAGCCATATTCTTGTTAAGCATGCTGGTAGTCGTCGCCCGTCATCTTGGCGTGAAGAAAACATAACTCGTAGCAAGGATGAGGCTCTGGAAATCCTAAAGGGCTACAGAAGGCAAATTGTAGCGGAAGAAGCTACATTTGCTGATATTGCTGGAAAGTACTCTGATTGTTCCTCAGCAAAGCGTGGTGGTGATCTTGGTATGTTTGGTCGTGGACAAATGCAAAAGCCATTTGAAGAGGAGGCCTATAAGCTGAAGGTGGGACAGCTTAGCAAACCAGTGGAGACTGACTCGGGGGTCCATATTATTCTGAGAACTGCTTAATTTGACTTGGCCTGACTATGAAGAAAAACCTTGAAGAACCAATACAAGGTTATTCACTTGCTAGAGGATGTCTCCGCTCAATAAAAGAAAATGTATTTAAGCAAATGCTTTCTCTAATTTAGTTTATTTGTATATGTAATGCATGCGAAGAATTTAAAAATAAATTGATTTAATAGACTTGTTTGTGTCCATGCATTTCTAAAACTGTGTAAATCTTACTCTGAATACTTTTGGCATTTTAAAATTTTATTGTAATTATATTAAACATAGAAAGGATCACTGCCAATGTAATAGACTATATGATATTCCTAAAATAAATTAAGTTTAGTTTGATTAGGAATTAATCTACAAGTGTAAAGGTTTTTCAAACATAAAATTTTCATTTGAGCTTTAAAAAAATATATACTTGTATTTGATGTATTTACCCTAAAAAAAAACAAAGATTCAGGTTCTGTTTTATGTGGTATGACATCATAATAACAATATTTCATTCTGTTTAGTGTTTGATCCAAACATGCCAATATATAATAGCATAGTACAACTTAGTACATGATTACACCAAAAATAAAGTATTTCAATTCCTCTATATGGCAAATTATTGTTAGTTGCAAATTTTGTAGAATGTACCTGTATGTGGACACAGGTGGCGTTAATTTAAATCTAAATTTTTATTTTGTGAAATCATTTTTCATTGTGATGGAATTGGAACCATAGATAATGCTGGAACATTATAATTTTTCAATGCCATTAATATTAAACTCATCATTATCTGTGGAAGATGCATTATGTCAGTGCTATGCTAACAATAGTTTTACTATAGGTATATATACACGATATTGTTCTACTTTTAATCAGTTCTTTAAGTTAGTTGTGTAGAATATACATTTCTTTGGTTCTTAACATTAAATTTCGGATATAATGGAATTATGTCTTTTATTTGTACCATTACTACCCAAAAAAAATTGTATTAGGAAGTTAGTGAGTAAAATACATTATCACTTTAATACTGTTTTATTACTAACAATTTGCGCATAATTTATATTTTTGTTAACATGTAGATAAACGTGATATTGGACTCAATAATTAGACATCACAAATTGACTATATTACATGATATATACTATGACTTAGTCTCAGTTGTTGTCTTGGGCAAACCCAGCCTTTTGCCGAAGACAATTCTCCCGAACATTTACAGATATTCCTAATATTGGTGTTTATATTCCTATGCCTTAATTTAATGACGAGCTGTTGTCTACATATTGATAAGTATTAGAGTTCGGGAGTGCATGCGTTCTCTGGTCGTCTTAGTACATTTTCGATGAGTTTTCGTCGTTCTCTCGATTTCGAATCAGTACAATTGTATCTAACGTGGAGTCCTTGACGGTCTCCGCTGCAGGAGTCCAAATCGGTCCGATGATAGGAGGGGACCGCTTCCCTCCCCAGGCGCTAAACTTCACTTTCCTCTTGCCATCTTTCTTGAGGTTCACGTCGACATATGGATGACCCATTTTAAAAGTCCGCGGCAAACTTTCCATAAACGTGTTGAAGGGCAAGGCGTCTTTTGTAGTTTTCTCGTCGAATTGTGTGCTCAGTGCGAGGATTTTGATCGGGTGCCGCTTGTCTAGCGAAGGGACTATCTGGAATCCAGCCAAATCGAGCCTCCCCTTAGGAGAATAGTTCGAAACGATGCGTGTTATTTCCGGCACTGAAGTGGAGAAAATAACCTTTGAGGCTTTACCTCCTGGCTTATAAATCATCTGGCCACTGCGTTTACCACCCCATGGGCTGAACCGAACTCGTTTCGGCATACTGGGTTCTCTAATCGCCTGCGAGCGTTTCCAGGTCCACATGTGTTCCATGGCGTCACGCTTGCCACCCCATGGACTGAAGCTTTTCTTTTCGAGGGAGTTCATCACCTCTGATGAATTTCCCTCTACTCTGCCGGACAGTCCTTGAATGATGAACGGGTTCAGCTTATCGTCATTGCGAATGTATAAAGTCTTGTCTAAGTCCACGAGGTTTGGTTTCCACTGGTCACCTGGACTGGTATGGTCTTCAGCAGTCCGCCTTTTCCTCTGCACCTCCGGTTGTTGGTGATCGCGTGGATAGAATTCATTGTGTTCAACGTTCTCGTAATTCTGTAATGTTTCGACGTCGTTCCTGGCGGGGTAGTTGAAATAATTGACGTAAGGCAAAGGTGGAAAATGAATTGTAGAGTCGAGGGGATCCATTAGGGCTTCGCCGTCCGCTCCTGCTGTGTTGATGTACTGGAGGCTAGCTGACCCGAACCACGAGAACGTGATAAATATCCAGTAATGTGACATGATCCTGCAAAAGGGTAAAACATATTACAAAATTATGTAATTATATACTTAGTTTCTTATATCTCAGGTCCCTACTCTTTATTTAAAAAAGGGGGTTAAATATGAAATACATAATATATATTTTTAGTTTTTGGCCGAATATATTTTTTTGTTGGTTGAATCCCTTAATTCATATCATACACAATACACATCCTTCGGCCTAAGTAACGAAAGTTGAATAAGTAACAAGATGGCGGCTATAAACGATTGCCGCCAAAAAAAACGATCACCTGTCTGACTCTCGACAAAATATTTAAAAAATAATTTAAATTTTATTATAAAATCTGAATCCCGAGGTGAAGTGTCCCGTTATTTTCTAGAAAACATTAATTTAAATTCATGATCATAATATGAACAAGTTTCAATATCAATACACATATTAAATATTTTCTTTCACGTTGAACGGGAGAAAGCCACAAATAGATACGTGTGTGTATTTTCCATTTAGATTGCTTTGTTAATGAATTCCGAATCTCAGATCATCTTCAGTCGTTTTCCTAAATGTTTGATCAATTTCAATATTTCATTACGCCGATACCCTTTGTAATTACAGGGTCAATTATTAAGTACAACAGCGCTATCTCCTTGCAAATTTTGTACAAGTTTATTATTTTTATGGAAATACATACACATATGTTTTTGTTTCTTTTTATTATTGGAATTAATCTTTAATTCGTCGCATTCTGAAAAGAGAATTCCTTTTGCACATACATTATTTATTTATTTATTAACACCTTTTCTATCTTTATAACGGTCATGCGTTATTTTACCACTGTCCCGTTTTTTGAATCGTCCATGCCTGTGGTATTAACGCGTACACAAGTAGTAGACAGCCTTAATTTTCATGTTGTCTAAGCTAAGTATAAACTTTTCAAAATGCATTCTATAGAAATGCAATTATTCAGTGTAACTTTGGATTATGGAGCTATTAGTTGTTGTGCCTTTGTGGTCATTTAAACTTAGATGAAATACTTAATTGCGTTTAACTTTAGATGTAACAAAAAATTAGACTAAGCAGTTTTTCAGCTCATGGTGTCTTTCTGCGATATTGTTATAACCTCCATAATATGAGTAAATATGTTTATGAGCCTTTGATTAATTTAATTACAATAAATACTCTACTCTCTGATCTATAAGCATATAGAAGAGAAGAATGCAGGTATATAGGTCTTGTACATTTTCTAGATTAAGATATCTGATATACTTCGTTCTCTGATCGTTCACGGTGTTTGTAACATAATACGGATCACTCCTTTAATAAACTTATATGTTGAAGTGGGTTCTAAAGTGCAAACGTAAATTATTAATATATAAAAAATAAGTATAAAAATTAAATTTTAATAAAAATATGATTGTTTAAGGACGTAAAAAATAACGATATAAGAATATTGTTTCTGTTCATCTTGTACAATTTTAGTAAATGCAAAGTTTGATTTTTATGTAAGAGTTACCTAGATATCATTTTCATTACTGTACCGGAAAAGATATCCTTTTTAAAACTCGCAAACTGTAAACTAAAAAAGACGAGTGCTCTCATCATTAAAATTCGTTGAAACGGTCAAAATGTCTTAGCCATTAGAGCAATATTGTTTTTGCATTTCTTTGAAGTTCTCCTTTTGTCTCCTTCGTTTGGTAAATATTGATGGATGTAATAGCTCACCGGGGCTACCTTTACCCTTTTATAACGGGGGTACATTGAGTGCTATCAGCGCTAGCTCTAACAGATAGATACAGACATTCTGGTATAGTGATCAAAAAAAAAATCAAAATATATGTACCCGTAATAACTGTTGTTGAATAAATGCACGATATTTAACGATTCTCAAAGAGGCTTGTTATCAGTTATGTTGGGATCTTTCGGACTAAGTGGCACTCTCAAATGGATACAGTACCTAGCAGAAAAAAAAATACTTCAAATTTAAAGAATTCAGCAAGAATAATTTTTTCTCTTAAATATTCACAACGCTGTTGATTCCTTAATCTTAATGGTCCTAAATTAATAATGCCTTATGACTAAAGTGCATTATTAACCTCAAAAAGTTACAAAATTAAGTCTATTTATCTTGTAAGACTGTACTTAGACTTATTATTAGATGTATTTGTGTGTTTTAGACTTGTGTTCTAGCTTTTGAAATTGCTTGGATCAACAATAAAAACGAATGCAAGAGTTTATCATATTATTTTCTTTGACCCAACTAAACTACGAAGTATGCGAAGTTCTTTTACCGTTTCGCGGAAACTAAAACTGCAACTGCACATAATTTAGCAGCTCCTTCGTACTTCTAAAGTGTTAATATACGTCTGAACCGTCCTAAGTTTTCTTTGAATTGGAGTCGATGTATAAATATTGTTGATATAACTGTAATGAGCAACTTAAAATGTACTGTCATTTTCAATTAGATTCGTTTTGTTTCACATTGCAATACAATTTAAAAAAAAACTTAAAATTAATTATAACTTATAATTAAATATATAACTTTTTGTCTACCTCCACGTTTGTCTTATTAAGATTTCAGATGTAAATATTTCCTTCATACAGCTCTCTCTCCATTTGTCCAGCGATCTTTATTTGTTTACTTTTAAATAGCGATTAGACATTTATCTAAAGAAATCATTTACTTTTATAGATGTTTATGAGTAAACTTAATCACTGTCTGTTGAATGAAGTTTCAAAGTTCATTTGTATTGTCTGGTATGTACTGAAAATATACCACTGTAGCTGTCTAATGCCGTCGTCCAGATTTTAATTTATTACTAGATATTCTCGATGATCAGGAAGTTAATCCAAGAGCGGTTTGAATTGTATTTGTAGTTGTGGTATGGTCAGTCGTTAGTTAGGCTTTACACCGCAACACCTAATCACCACCTCCACAGTTGGGTAAATATTGGAAGGACACAAGGTGTGGGTGATAGCATATGGACACTAATAGTTATCGCCAATATGTATAAAATGAAATTATAGTACTTTATAGACATGCTGTTTCACGAAAATCAGGATTAAAGGGAAGTCATAGACAGGCTATAGAAAAAAGAGCAAGCAATTTGAGTACAGATACAAGATAAAAGGTACTAATAATTATATATTAGAAAATAATAATATATTATGTCAATCTAGTTAACGGTACGAATAAACTTATTTCTTTTGTTTCCTATTTACTAAAGCTAATGACAAAGATTTTTTTGCGCGGCATGCAAAGTTTAACTTCTTCTGTGAGTATGTTACTAATTCATTTATTTACCAATTGAATGACACGTATAAATTGTGCTATAAAACGGGGTTTATTATTAATATAAGCGATTTCCTAAAAGACAACTCGAAAATAAAGAAGCTTTAAGTATTATCTATAGTTTACGCCAATAGTATTATTTAAGCGACATTGAAATAAAACAATTTTTACCGTTCGAAAGGCGAAATATTGTTTACTTATTTTTGAGTATCCCGTCGGTTCAAGCGCTTGGCAATATCCGAGAAAATCTAAATGAGATAGAGCCTTCGATTCTAACATACCATCTATTTTGAGAACATTCAATCACTATGACGATCAATTTCTCATTTTTCTTTATTATAGCAACATAAATTTACAAGTCAGAAGTATCGACTGAACAATAGTCTTCCTATAATTTATTGAATTACTTACTGATCTATCAATGCACTATCGAGGTTAATGAAAACATAGGTTTGAACTTCGTTTTGTTTGTTTGAAAGCTTTTAAAAAATTATTTTAAAAGTTGCATTAGCTTACATCTTGTAATTTAAATGTTTTTTGCGATATGTCAAAATCGTCGAGTAATACACATATAAATAAAAACTGTAACGGTTTGAAACGCGATGTATATTGATTAAACTTATTTGATTTAAAAAACGAAAATAAATTTAAAAAATTTTCGACTCGGGCAGGACTTGAACCGGCATCGTTAGCGTTCCATGCTATGTTGCTCTACCAATTGAGCTACCGAGTCCAAGGACTAGGACTCGACTCGATGCCGGTTCAAGTCCTGCCCGAGTCGAACATTTTTTTCAAATTTTTTCAGATTTTTAAATTATATAGTGCCTTCATGTGCACTTATGAAAAATGTGAAAAATATTAATGTTTTTAAACTTCTATTTCTTTTTTTTTATGCTTTGCAGCAGTCGTAGTCACGGGGGAGACTAAAGATAACACCATCCTATTTTACCACGAAAATAATTTTCAAATAAGTTTAAGTAATATACATCGCGTTACAAACCGTTAAAGTGTTTTATTTAAAAATATTATTTTTTTTCCACTTTGCTAAATATAGGTACAGGTCTATTCGTCTAACAAGCCAACACAAACATAATATCTGTAATGTGTTTACGAAAACTTCTTAAAAGTCAAAGAGTTTAAGAAAACATGGAATTAACTTGTGAAACAATATTTTCTTGGCTTTAATTAATATAATATCGAGGTTTACTTAAGCCTATATGTTTTATGAATATTCCCTTAAACTTTCATATTTAATTTAGTATATATTATTTTCAGAAATAATAGTAAGTAGGTAGATTATATGTATTATTTGTTAATTATTGAGACCCATTTATTACAATAAAAAAATATTGTCACTCGATCTTGATTTTTCGTAACGCTGTATTATAGTATTTTTTATTTTTAGGTAATAGGTAGGTTTTAGTTATATTTAAAAACTGAATGAGCCATATTTTAAAAAATCATTTTGATACAAAAATTAATATTTAGACAGTGCTAATTAATTTTAACAAATTATAATATTCATAAATAAAATATATTTTAGACCTGATCGTGTTTTATAAACGGGTGTGCTACGAAAAGCTGTAGCGCCGTAGCCGCCTAGCACTCGAAAGTGCAAACTTCATTTCATGCTTATTAGCCCATAAAACATTTATTTTTAAAATATATTTTAAATTGATTAATTTAAAAAATAAGTACGGCTAAATATTTAAATTTAAATTCAGCTGACGAAAT